CCGTCACATTCATACGGCGCAATGATACAACTATTTGAACTCTCCGGAATGCGTGAGGCATCACGCCGCATTTGCAGGCGTTTTCAAAACAGCCAAGTTCCGATACCCAGATTATCGTTTTGCAGTTCATATGCTTTTGTTATATTCCGTACCACTCGTTTATTTTTAATCCTCGTAGAAAAACCACCCATTTGCTAAATACAATTCTAGCTGGAGCGCACTTCAGCTATGCATTCACCACTGCAAAAATGTCAAAGGAAATCGACACGGCCAGCGTGCATGGAGGCTATCTCCATTTAAATCTTCCGTCACATTTCTAAGGCGCAATGATATAACTATTTGAACGCTCCGGAATGTGTGAGGTATCACGCCGCATTTGAAGGCGTTTTCAAAACAGCCAAGTTCCGATACCCGTATTATCGTTTTGCATAGTTCATATTCTTTTGTTTCCATTTCTAACCACTTGTTTATTTATAATCCTCCTATAAAAATTACCCATTTGCTATGTACAATTCTAGCTGTAGCGGACTTCAGCTATGCATTCACCACTGCAAAAATGTCAAAGAAAATCGACAAGCTCAGCGTGCATGAAGGCGTAAGAGGAGCTCCTTCACATATTAGATAGGCAACATATTCAACACTCCGATACAGTATATCAATAGTTTCTCCAAGTAATCGCAAATTAAAACAACCTGCGGGCTGATTTTTGAAATTGATAGACATAGCTATAGACAAAGAAGATGTAGGGAGTACGGAGTAATCCTATAGGCTGAAATTGGTAATATTGTAGATAAAGGGAGAAAATGATGGACTACTAACTATAGGGGTTCTCATGGGTTGCTGCATGTTAGTTAGTCTATTACCTAGGTACCTACTTTGTCCATTGCAACCACCCGGTTCCACCAATAGGATCCCTTCAAACCCCTTTTGTCGTCTTTGTCTATAGTTTTGTCTATCAATTTCAATAATAGGCCCGCTGCGCTACCCGGAAACCAACGGATTGCACTAAATACATTTAAAATTGCTACAAAATGAAAAAAAAGAACAACTCAGATTTTTTATTTGAAAGCTAGCTTCTGAAACAAAATAAACAGTTGTTTACAATTTTTAAAGTATCTAAACTCACCGGAGGCAGCCCGGAGTTTGAGGAAAGAGTCACCAAATGAGATGTAGAGAATATCGACAGATTTGGTCGGGTGGATCGAGTTATCGGACACGAGTGTTTTATACAGCGTGCCGTTCATGACGGCATCGAAACTACCCGGTCGGAAAGGCAACTTGGAGCCTCGAATGAATTTCGAGTCTTCCCGGAAGGTGACCGCGAATCTGTCCGAGGGAAGGATGGAGAAGGGCCGGTCTTTTGCGGTCAGGATGAGGTCCATCTTGTAGTTGTCGCTCACTAAATGCACCCAGCTGATTTTGTCGTTGAATTTGTCGTGGTCCGGTACCACGTCCCGAACGTTGAATATGTCCCCAAGAAGCACGATCGACGAGGATGAGGAACCTGGAATCGATGAAAATAGGTACCTAATTCTTTGGGTTTCCCAACTAACAGGATTATATACTTTTCCCTTCGAAACCAGCCATGAAAAAACTTGGAAAATTTTTGAAGACTTTGAAAACTTGGAAGACTTCTCGTCATACTTTATTTTTTAAATGGAAAACTTTTCAACGTAATTTTTTGAAAAATGTCTTAATTTTTCTTCTCCGATGACAGAATATTCTGTATCAATTTCAAGCTGTAAAATTTGCTTACTTCTCTTCGAAACATATAATAAAAACGGAAATTTTTAAACGCACCGCAATGGAGATACATGCATGCATGGTTTTTCACTTTGGCCATCTGAATTGCTCTTGTTTGAGAATGGCAATTTTTTTTGTAAGATGACAACAGTCACCGTGTATACTCTAGAATTACCTACCTTTGCTCGTGTCTGGTTTGCTCGAGTCTACTTTGCTCGAGGCATATACAAAGAGGTTAAAATGATTTCCGGCACCATGATTGTCTTGGCTACGCTCACACTCGTCCTCGGAATCTTTGAAAATTTGCTTTGCTTCTCCGATTAACTTCTGAAATAATTAGCAAATAGACAGACAAAATAGGTACATCTAGCTGAGGTCGAAAATTGTGTATCCTCGATTTACTAACTTAAATGCTTCACCCGTTAACCCGTTGTCTCTAAAGCCACTCTTCAATTTGTATTAATATCCCCATGAAATTCAAATCTGCTGTCAAGACTGTATCAGGCACCTCCTGAATGGAATTTCGCAGAGACTTCACGACTAGTCGCGAATTCGGTAGATACGCGGTTTTTCTACGCGAATCGTATTGATATGAGCGGGAAAAATGGTTCTTGATGCGTTTCTTTTTATGGAAAAATCCGAGTGTATTTTCACGCAGAGGATACTCGTACCCTTCAGAAACGAGTTAAAGTTGGTCGTTTTTTCAATCCTTGCGTTGAAGTCTCCAGGTATTTTTAATCTGTACATTACATAAGCGAAAAATCTTAAAAATGAGAAACATAATGGTGTTTTTACGCATTGGAGATGTACACCCTCTCAGAATAATGTTGAATTTGGTTGTCTTTTCTATGTTTGCGTTTAAGTCGCCAAGGATATGAACGATTATGTCAACCTGAGTCGCATTCGAGGGTTGTTTCAGAATATAGTATTTTACGGTATATTACACGGATGCAGTTATTCATTAGAGAAGAAACTTATGAGATTTTGAGCATTTCATTTTTTGCCAAGCGATGGATCAACTCGATATAAAATTCGATGCGTCTCTTGGATTATTTCCAGAAACGGCAACTTGTAAAGCGCCTCTCAGCGATTGTCTCACTTGTTGATTAAAAAAGGAAAGGAGCAATTGAAGAGGTAGTGATGAGTGAACAAAGTTTCGACTTTGCATTGTGCCTGATCTAGTTACAAGTTTCTCCTGCTAAAAATTATATTTGGTGATGAGACCGTTCAGGCTTGCTAATGAAGCGCGTAGTGTCCGTAAAAATGAAGGCGCACACATCGCCCTAAATTCACCCGGCGGGTTTTTCCCTACTTCGTTTTCCATCACATTTTGCCACGTTTCAATGATTAAGTTCGAAAAGTTTCTAAAATCAGATCGCGTAAAGTAAGATTATTTTTCCGTTGTTGTCTTGACGTATAATCAACATTTTGAGAACATAGTGCAAGCGATACGCTACGTTCAATAATTTAGGGTTAAACATGGTTTTTTCATTGGACATCATGCTTCATTGGACACCTGCTTTAAGAATAACAGTTTATGAAACTCGGAGATACTCCAAGAAACACTTTAAAAGAACAAAATATCTAAAAGTTACACTGAAAAAAATGAAATGCTGTTTTAGCAATTAGGATGTTAAAAATGTGTCTGATGATCCTAAAATGCTGCCTTGATTGCCCACGCAATTGATTTTGCATTCACAGGATGTAAAGTTAACTGCGAGGGCAGTAACGGCAGAATCTTGGGATTACCAGACACATTTTTGACATCCTAGATGCTAGAACAGCATATTATTTTTTTCAGTGTAAATAAACCTAGAGGAGTAAAAATTGTAGGTACCTACGATAGGTATTTTCAGTATAGTGCCGGCATTTTCATATACAGGGTGATCCAAAAGTCCCTTCCACCCCCTCTAACTTTTTACCTAATTGAGATA